CATTTTCTCCTTCAGCCAATTGTATCTTCTGCAGTTTTGGTGTGCTCAAGGCTCCCTGAGAGAAGAATTTCATCCTTGGGCATCCTCTAATGAAAACTTCTTCCAAGGATGGAAATTCGAGAGAGTAATCTCCAAAGCAGAAACTTCGAAGACTCGGCAAACAATGAAGTTCTAAAGATTTCAATGTGTTGAATATAATCCCATCTTTGACTTCACCCCCAAGGTAAACTATGATTTCTTCTATCATTTCACAATCAGATATTCTTAGCTTTTGGAGCTGCACCAAGCTCCTGGCTGTACACTTTGTCACTAAATTTACCAATTTATGACATTTTGATACCTCCAGAACAGTTAGATTCTTGAATATTATCGACACTATTTGTTCAGGCCTTAAGCCAGGAAGAACAAGGCCAGGTTCGTGTTCCTCCTTAAGTAGATGCTTTAACTCAGGGAGTTTCGACAACTTTAATTCACTTAACTTAGTCAGTCTCCTGGCACGTATTTCCTCCTTAGCACCCTCTCTAGATTGAAATATGTACTCAAAGGGGGCTTCACTCATATTAAGCTTTTCAAGATTTGGTAGTAACTGCATGAAACCAAGGGGTGGAAGGATCGGTCTCTTAAGAAAGTCTATCAGTTCAAGGACTTTTAATTTGCATAAGTATACTGCTGAAAATTTTCCGTGCCATATCTCTGTCATAGCATCAATTCTTTCCAACTTCAACTCCTCCAGGTTAGGAAAAGTCTCCTGAAAGATTAATTTTCAGTATTAATAAACAAGGTATTCTTCGTATCCCTTCTACATATGTGGACATGGTTTTAAAAGTTAAGATAGTACTATTCTCATACCTCATCAACCAGGAAGAGAGGGTGTTGAATTGAAATCTCTGTTTGCTCGTCTCTTTGTGTTTGCAGGAACCAAGGAGCTCCTGAAGCAAATACACTCACTTTGTCACATCCATGTAAGTGCATTCTTTTCAGCAATGGCCATTCTGTAGTATGCATTCCGGGGTATATACTTCTGAGTTCTGGTATGTCCCAAATCTCCAAGACAGTTACTTGAGGAAATACAAACTTGGGGATTGCTGATCTAGATTCCGGAAGCTCAGGCCCTAGAGGTTCAAATATTGATTTTAATGAGTGGCAACAATTTACCCGCATCCGGTCTAATCTCTGGAGCCTGTTTATCATATTGGACGGGAAGACCGTTAATAGTTTTTTGCAGTTCCATACTGCAAAGTAATCTAGTTTGGAGAAAGCATCTGGGGCGAGTTGGCTGTTCCATAGTTTTTCCAAGTTATCCATCTCCTCAATTAGCAATCTCTCTAAGTTGGGTAGCTTGACCTGTAGAAAGTAATTATTGATTAAACAATAATATCATCTGTGATTGGGTACAAGGGAAATTGGGAGAGAGATTTCAAGTTTTAGACTTCAGAATTGCAATTGCAGAATTAAGAACGAAAACAAAACAGGAAAAAGAAGAAAGATTGAGTCACCTTGTCATCAAAGAGAGGTATTGCTTCTCTTTGAGATTCTGCTGCCAATATTCTCTGATCCCTTGCAGTGTTGGAGATAAATGACTTCAAATCAGGACATTTCTTTATCACCAACCATCTCAAGGATGGAAAGTCAGTTAAACTTCTAGCACAAAATCCAGTAAGTTGGGGAAGATTTTCAAGCCTCAGGTCATATAGTTCAGGGAAGAACAAGTCATTCATGTTTCTTTCATCCTGTAACCTTTCTGTTACTATGATCTTTTCCACCGACTTACAATCACGTACTACAAGTGTTTTGAGTTGCAGAATATTTTTAACCATAGATGATGAAAACACATATTTTAAATTGTCGCAACCCTCCAAAGTCAAGGTTTTCA